TCCAAATCCCCAAAGAATCAACAATCATAGCCAGCATATTTCTTGCTGGCGCCACGGCGGCCTCGCCGTGCCGAGGTGCGGGCTTCGATTCCGCCTCCTTCCTGTAGGGAGTTTGCACGCGCTGCCCCGTGGCTGCGTGGCTTTTCTCCGGGTGCTCCGCTTTCCTCCCGCATGCCCAAAACATGCGCAGCAGGTGAATGGAAAACTCTAAATTATTCTGAGGTGTGATTGTGAGCGCGAATGGTTGGTTGTTGGTCTGTGTGCCCCGCGATTGGCCGGCCAGCGACCGGTTTTGGGGTGTCCCCTCCGCCTGCTGCCTGAAGACGGCCGGGATAGGCTCCGCCCCCACCGTCCCTCGTTAGGATAAGCGGATCAGATAACGGAGGGCTCTTTCTTGCCAAAGATCGGTCGGTGGGCTGGATCTTTGCCCGTTTCCAGTCTCCACTCCGTCGCAGCAGCCACCAATGGGGGGGGGGGGGGGATTTCTGCGGTGTTAAGGTTGTGGCGACGTTTGTTTTTGCCTTTTGACACATCCCACACAGGTTGAAAAACACTTATATGATGTAAAAGTGACTTTTGAATTTTGGGAGACAAATAATTATGTGTCTGGGGCAGGGTTAAAACAACATCCAAACCAAACAAAACAATGTCAATTCAATTCCGCCGAATCTCACCGAGATCATTTCGTCTTTCTCGCACTGCTGCGACAGATCCCGGATGCCGCCGATGAAAAGTTTGTTGGCGCTGACGTAGGCCTTGCCGGCGTCGATCATGCCGCCGCAGAGCTTCACCAACTGCGTGGACAAAAAGGACAAAGTAGAAGATGCGATGTCAGTCAATTTGCGCTCATTTCAGCCCACATGGCTTGAACGTTGGTCGGTATTGAGCTCTTTGAAAGGTCCTGACAAATTCTTCAAATGACCCTGAAATGGACACAAATGGGAACTTGCTGGCTCTTTCAGCTTGGCTCCTTGAGACTTTTTTTTGGGGGGTGGGGCTGCTCACGGGGGCTGAATCTTTTAAGGCGTCTAGTTGAGGGTTCAGTGGTCTAAGGCCAGCTTTCAATGAGCCTCAAATGGCCGCTTTTACCCAAAACGGCACGCTTCTCGTCTTTTAGGGCGTGGCTTCTTGACGCCTTTTGTGAGTCCCCTCATGATAAACATGTCTTGCAAATGTCCAACACCCCTTGGGAGGCGGGGATTTTGATGACGTTTGGTTGGGCTGACCTTGTGGAGTTAGTTGACTCTTTGGAGTTTCCTGCCTGATGCTGAGTCATCAAACTTGGCCAGCACGCTCCACCCGGAGGCAATGATGAAAACGCTCAATTTGAGATCACCGATCTGTTGACTGTTTGTGGTCACATTTGGCAGCGAGCGGACAACAACGACAACAACAACAGCAGCAACTTGGACCAGATCCATGGAAAAGACCAGAAAATGGCGCCTTTCAACCAAAACGTCAGACTTGCCGCATCTGTTCTGGCCTGGCTTTTTCGAGACTTTTTTGCCCACCCAATTTATGGTTGGGAAATGATGTGATCTGGGGGGCTGATTTTTCAAGACGACTTCAGAGTTTTTGTATTTCAAGGGGAGTCATCGAACGCTCCAGCCTGTGGATCAGTGACAACATCTCAACATGTTCCTCACCAGCTATGGAGATGATTGAAACTTTTTGGCCATAAAAGTCGTTAGACGGCCCTCGTTGGATTCTCCGTGTGAGAACTTTTGTCACGCCCTCCAGCGATCTGAAAGCGATCGTTTCCCAGAAGCCGCGGCGTTAGCGTCATGCAGCGCGGACGGGGGGCTCTTACCTTGTCCAGTTTTGCCTCAATCTCCACCACCTCTGTCTCCACTTCCTCAATATTTGCCCTAAAACAGAAAAGCAAGACAAGTTGTCCATAAATGTCTGCTTAGATTTTTTTTTTTTTTTCCCATCACGGGGGAGTTAGCCGCGACGAAAGCAAAAGACTGCTGCAGTACATGTGATGGTGTTCAGCACAAATTCTGAAAAATAATTTGACCACAAGTTACTACAGCTAGCTGGCAGCTCACACGAGCAGGCATGTTTAGAAAGATCCCCAAAAGCGGGCGCTAAATTGCGTCTTTAGTCAAATTGACTGCGCGCATGATTGGCGGTGAAAGTTCACCATGAGGAAGGTCAAATCTCACATTGCAACGCGTCGGATCAAGTCGTCCGCCAACTGAGAGGACGGGATCAGGGTTTTCCGCAACTGTGATGATGTTGTCAATTTGTCCTGAATGGACGAAACGGACGCGACTCTTTTGAGTCAATCGTGAAAGTTGTTCATCCACACCAATTTGCGGGACAGCTGCTAGCACCATTCACCCCTCCCCCGCCCTCTCCTGTGTCATCGCACCAAGTGCCCCCCGCCAAAACAAAAAAATTGATGCGGCGTGGTGCCTCCAAGGCCCGTTGTCACGGCAACCGTGGCGGACGCGAGCCGCAGAGGTCCCTGACGGGCTCGTGGGTTGACCAAGAGGCGAGTGTGTCACATTGCGCGTGCGCCCAGACAGCGTGGTGGTCGGTCGACAATCGTTTTGGCCAAATTGCAGCGATGGCAAACAATCGTTTTCTGCATGATTAGCGGACACACGATTTCCTCCCAAGGTTGGATCTGAGAGTACGAGCAGGGCACAGAGCACTTCGTACGTCCAATACGAGCCAAAGATTCCCATCTCGTAAATGAGAACATTCTTCCTCGGGAACACTCTGATCAAAATGTGCGCAACGTGGCATTTCTCCCACTGGCAGGATTCCAAAGTCGACAGAAAGAGTGGAATCTTGGCTGCAATTGAGGGATATCAATCAGGTTTGTTTCAGAAAAACAATGACCCCCCCCCCAGAGAGATTTGAAAGGAGAAATATGATGCATCCCCTCCACAATTCAAAGGTGTCTTCATAAAATGTCTTTGGCATGCTTTGCTCCAAATACCCAAGAATCAACAATCATAGCCAGCATATTTCTTGCTGGCGCCACGGCGGCCTCGCCGTGCCGAGGTGCGGGCTTCGATTCCGCCTCCTTCCTGTAGGGAGTTTGCACGCGCTGCCCCGTGGCTGCGTGGCTTTTCTCCGGGTGCTCCGCTTTCCTCCCGCATGCCCAAAACATGCGCAGCAGGTGAATGGAAAACTCTAAATTATTCTGAGGTGTGATTGTGAGCGCGAATGGTTGGTTGTTGGTCTGTGTGCCCCGCGATTGGCCGGCCAGCGACCGGTTTTGGGGTGTCCCCTCCGCCTGCTGCCTGAAGACGGCCGGGATAGGCTCCGCCCCCACCGTCCCTCGTTAGGATAAGCGGATCAGATAACGGAGGGCTCTTTCTTGCCGAAGATCGGTGGGCTGGATCTTTGCCCGTTTCCAGTCTCCACTCGGTCGCAGCAGCCAGCAGCTCGCTTGCACAGGCAGAAGCGGAGCGCAGAAGCGAGTGGCCAAGACAATCAAAGCACTTTCATGGCACACGGACACGTGGCCCGCCGAAATCAAGTACGCCGTGCTCATCAGAGGCGCGCGCCGTTGCAACGTGAATCTGTTGTTCAACAAAGCGGGCCACTGGCTAAAATTTGATCAGACGCCTCCCATTCGACGCGCTTGAAGGAGAGCCCCAGAGAAATTGAAATCCCATTCACACGTCATGGCTGGAAAGTGTGAGAAAAGAGATGGGGGGAAAAGAAAGTGAGGGAAAATGAGAGCGCGGGCGAAAAAGAAAAGAGAAGGGAGAATTTGAGACGATGAAGTTAGAGAGAGAGGTGAAAGAAGGAGCAAGAAAGAATGAGAAGAATTAGGAGACGTGCGAGAGGGGCAAAAAAAAAAACACTGAAAGAAAGGAGGAGAGCCAAAAGGAAGAATTTGGAAGAACGGAAAGCCAAGAAGGGAGAGAAATTGAGAAATAATGAGGGGGGGAAAAAAAGTGACGCGAATGAGAAAAGAATGAACGAAGGGAGAGGGACAAAGAAACTTAAAATAACGAACGAGCGAGAAAGCCGAGAAAGAGACAGAAAAGTAAGCAAGAGACGCAGAGAAAAGAACAAAGGGGAATCGTGGCGACCGATAATCGGGAGGTGGCACCGAGCAGAAAGGAGAAAGAGGTGCAAAGGGAACGAACGAGCGAGAAAGGCGAGAAAGAGACAGAAAAGTAAGAATGAGGCGCAGAGAAAAGAACAAAGGGGAATCATGGCGACCGATAATAGGGAGAGGTGGCACCGAGCAGAAAGGAGAAAGAGGTGCAAAGGGAGAGAGAAGAACGAGAAAAGAGAAGCAAAGCGACAGAGACAAAAATAGGAGCGAGAAAAGAAAAGGACGCCATGAAGCTAATCCTGGCCGCAGCGATGGCTCATGTTCATGTGGGCCTTTTCGATGCGAGACGTGATCGTGCTTGCAAGCGGCCCTTTCACTCTGCGAGTCCCACCCAGTCCCGGGCCAAGAAACTCGGAGTGGGCATGCTTATTGTGCGAACTGGCCCCGCTGTGATGTCACAAGGCCAACAACGGACTTCACTCCCAAAAGCATTTCCAGAGTCGGAGGACAACTTCAGATTGACTTGCTTGGTTCATTTCAGTCACCCGAGACACGCAACTTTCTGGCTGCAACACGTTGGCCTCCTTGACGCCGTTCGACCCGTTTCGGAGCAGGGGCTGAAAGTTCCTGAGCAGAGCGACTCTGGTCTTCTTCCAATCCCATCGTGTCAACGCGGCAAAGGCCGCAGACTCGCAGCGTCTTGATTTACGGCGAGCGTCTGAGAATTTGGGAAGAAATAGCTGAATTCTCCCAACCCCCCACCCCCACCACTAATTTTTTACACATGGTTTCTTCATTTATGTCATGAAACCAATTGATTGATTGTAAGAAATACAATCAAACTATGACTCGTATACCAATTTTAACCTGTCCATTTGAAATTTATTTTATGAACTAATTATCATACAATAAATGAATTATTTATGGTACAGTATCATTGAGAAATAAGCATGAATAACTATGATTAAAATAAATGATATTCTCTGATTTATTGATTTCGCATTCTTTTTTAAAAAATGGTTCAGTAAATGTAGATATATTATATATACATATATTATATGGATATATTTTGATTCTTCGTTTATCTTTATTTTACATATGTCCATTTGAGTATATATTTCATTGATAGGTCATTTTTATAATGAAATGAATGATAAATTCTGTCAATAAAGAGTGGAATCAGATGACATGATAAATAATAATAATAAAAAAAAAAAAAAATCACTATTTTACATATGCATTCAGCCCCCCCCCCACCCCCACCTCCAAGTTTATGAATGACTTCACACATTAGCCCATTTTCAAATCCAATTATGGCCCTGGAGCACATGTTTGCCTCGCTCTGCTTGAGAACATCAAGTCATTCATTTTGGTGCGGAACCAGAAACGGACCGTAAAATGTTGATTGGTGATCTTCTATTGCAAAGCTGCGTCGCCGCTTTTAGCTCGTGACTGGCGATGAGCTGTTGGAAAAAGGGAGTCAGCGTCCTCAACGTCCTCCCCTCACATCGACCTCTGCTCGCTGACGCATTTCCCGGCCCGGGCCGTAACCGGCGATCTGCCCTCGCGCAGGCGAGGACGGACAGGAAGTGGGCAGGAGGGAGAGACGGAGAGAGGGATGGAGAGAACGAGGGGGGGGGGGGGAGAGAAAGTGGAACAAATGGAAAGCAGATGCACGGACACGGGATGAGAGCCGCCGCCGAGAGCCGTCGTTTTCCCGCCGGAGGAGATGCCTTTCCAGGACAACCAAACGCGAAAATCTTCAAAAGTCAGAAGCAGCTGCTGGTTTGTTTCTATCTACTCAGTATTCCCCTTTGAAAGAAAAATAAAATAAAATGTTTAAAAAAAAGACATTTCCCGCCAATTTGATTTGATATTTTATTAGTTTTCAAACAGTTACGCCAGAACGGTGTGACACATGTGACATGTGATTTTGAAGTCATCATAAAAAAATGAATGAATTCATTTGATTGAATGAAATGTCCCGGGGATCAGCAGTCACGAGAGTGCGATTTCACGAGACGGCGACATGTATTCGCCAAGGCCGTCTTCTTATGCAACGTTATTTACAAACAAAACCAGACAGAGTTCGTAAATACCCCAACACGAGACCTCAGAACTCGGAATCATAATGCCATTTCATTCTTATTCCTCAAACGCAATATTAATCAGAGAACCGTCTTTTAACTCCTGCTGGCAACTACAACATATGATCGCTTTTGGATCTAACTTTTGGAGGGGTGAGCTGTCCTTGAAAAGAAAATGTCCGACTTTTTGCACAACAATATGACACCCGTGACTGATCAAGTGACCAGTGAATACTTTTGGCCATTTAGTGCTCTTCAAGGAGCTGCTGAAGAGTGAGCGTCTGTGATGTGAAATGGCTGTTGGTCAAGAGCAAACACAAACACGGCAGCATCCAATCAGCAGTGATGGTTTCTTTCCACACATGTGGATCGAAGAAAAAAAGTCAACATTTGAGACCAACAACACTCCATCTCGAAGTTGGCTTTCCTCCAAATGAAAGGCAACCCGCTGTGCTTTTTTTCTGTCCCGCAATTCAAAATACTTCCCAGGAGTTTGGATCAAAGCTCCGGGAGCATTCTTGCGTCAAAATTCACAAAGGATAAAAGGATTCGAGCATATGCAACATCCACCTTAAAGCACACGGGCGGTGCTGTCAAATGAGCCGCTGCTCATTCCACACCCGAGCGGACAGCGCAGACAAAATACAAGCACCGCTTGCGAAGATTCATTCAGTTTTTTGCTGAGCCTCATAAGGTCAGTCGAAGAATGAATTGTACGTTCCCCTGCGGAAGGAAATAGAGAGAATATGTCGCCTGGAGTACAGCCAAAATAAGCATCTTCAGTTGAGTTCAATGAGCGGAGGGAATGAGTGCCATAAATGCAGCCGTTTCTGGAGTGCAACCTCTGTCGCGCAGGTTGTTTGTTTGCCGACCGACTGTCACCATCGCTGGGAACTGATGACAGGCGCTAACGGCTAGCCGTGAAAAACAGCATTTCCCGTTTGCACATTTTATTTTATTTTTTTGCAAATATCCTCTGCGACTATTAATACGAAGCAGCCAATCTAGCAGCCAATAGCTTTTAATCAAGCTCATTTTCTTGTCCATAAATTACGGGACGCAAAGACGAGGCTTTCTTTCATTGCAAGGAGTAATACGTATTGCTGAGGTGTAGTTTAGTTTTTGTCCAAACCAGAAGTGTCCAGAAAGTGACCACCGTGGTCCAAAGCAAAGCCACCCTCTTACTTCCTGATAGGCTGCTACGATAGCTCTTCGAAAAGTGGACAAGCTTGCACAGGGGCGCTTACGTCCTTGCGCAATACACCTTGACAAAACAGCAAGAAAACTAAGTGTCGTGTGTGAAAAAGCATTCTTTTGGAAAATGTGAAACGCATCATACTAGAGGAAGTCTGCGTACCACTGGTAGAATCAGTCCCTACGTACAGTTCTGTTGTATTTAACTTTTATGTTCAGTACAGTGGCTTTTAATCTTTAAGAACTGTTTGTTTCAAATATTTATTTTGGTGGGGGTTTTTAAAATCTTGCTTTCATGTGCAATACATTTGGCCTTAATCACTATTTAAGTACATGTTTTAGTTTTACGAAATTGTCAGCCTTACGCCACAATTACCGAGTTGTTTTGTAATTTACTGTCACAATAACTAACTGTACATAATGTTACAGTGCCTAACAACAATATTAAATATTCTTTACTGAACGGGAACTAGTGCCACACTTCCCACAAGTCAGGCGAGTGTATCACTACTGTATCAGCAACACGACGGGCAGAAAAAAAGAACTATCACAATAAATGGTAGAAGGGACATCATTTCCTTTCATTTGTGATTAAATTGAGAGGAGATCATGATTTCAGAGCAGGTGTCAGTTCAGAATTGATGGACGTGTCGTGTCTTGTCCTCTTGATGGCCAATTTATATTTCAAGGATCAGTGAGTAAGATTTGAATCAACATTTTAGGGGGGAATGAGTCTATTGATTTCTACCTTGTAATCATAAAAATAAAAAAAACATTTTGTTTTATCACAGACATACAGTATCCTCGCAGTTATTCTCTGAATGTGTTTCAATTTACACTAAACGGATATCAACCATTGAGATGAAGAGAAAAGCAGCCGGCGACGTCACTTTGGTTTGTAATTTTGATTCAGGCTAAAATGTATTAAGCATTCAAGTGGCATTTAGGTTACCTTATTTAAGTGTTTAAGTGTACTGTATTTATGATCTGGAACAGGGTTGTGCCAAACACGGCAAACTATGTGATATGCCAAAGAAAAGATCTGATAGAAAATGTTACATTCACGGGTCAGCTGAATGAATTACAGTCTAGGATGGTTTATTGCCTGTTTTTTTTTTCCTGCAAACGACAACTGAAGTGCCCGACATATACTTTTTGTGATACTTCGGTTTTGGTGGCGTGCCGGGGAGTTGTAAGAGATGTGCTCAAAAAAGGTTGGGAAGCTCTGAACGAAGTTCGACGAGCACTCAAATCGGACCAACTCGAGCATGTTTCAAGGCGACCCCTTCGCGCTTCCAATTCATCAACTCAGTGGACAACCGTAAACGCATCACTCACCTGAAGCGGGGCGAATCTTTGACACACTCTTCAAAATCCACCGTCATCTTGGTGTCCCAACAGGCTGTTCACAAGGCCCGGGGCATGCCCGGTGCTCCGTCCGGCTCGTGGGCGTCTTTTGGCGGTCTTCCTTTCGAGCCACTTCGCTCCCGCCGACTGAAGTTCGAGGATCAAAAAAAAAAAACCACAAGCCCGCTCACCATGGGGCGTTCAACGTCTTCCGGTCGAGCGCTGACATTGTAATCACTGGAGATGCACGCGAAACGACATAATGCCAGAAATGATGATTATACCATGTCTGGCCACAAATATTCACCAACACGTTACATCATCTGATGAAATAAAGCAGTATCTTTATCTATCTATTATCTATATCTCGGAACTCGTGCGATATTATGGTAACATTCGTTCCGGCTGCTCAAAAAGCTATATTTTACGGGTAAAATTGAATGCACCACACCAATTTACCGCCCCTCCGTTTGGGATTGAATGAATGGCAACGTCAAACTGGGGGGGGGGGGGGGGGGGGAGGGGGGGGGGGGGAGAAAAAAAAAAAGGTCATTGGCAGCCGTAAAGGCTAAATAAACTGAATACTTCTTGTCGACTTTTCAGGTGATTTCATCGCAACGACGCTGCCACCAGGTGGCCAATACCGAGTATTGCCGTGTCCCTGTCAAGCGCGACTCGGGCTGCACTTCACGAAACGTAGAACACGTCTATGTATCGGGCATCATCCTCCTTCGGGGCACGAAGTCACGCATTTGTTCTTGAAGCAAAGAGATGCAAGGGAAATGTGAAAAACATGACTTCAACCAACGATCAACACATTTTCTAAAATAGCTCAAAGCAAGTGAAGATCATTTTTGTGCTGTCGATGAAAATGTGTGGCCCAAAGGGTTACAAAGTAGGAAGACTGTTCATTCCTACAGCCTTCCAACTATGTACTATGCATGCATGTACAATTTTCCCGAAAGAGATTGTCCATGCTCACATTTTTAGCTGGTTTTTTCTCCTTTGTCCTATGCAATGTTGTAGTTTGATTTCTGTATCAGAATAACATGGTTTGTCAACAAATTTCAATGCAAACAGTAAAAGTGAAATATGGATGGATGGATGGATGGATGGATGGATGGATGGATGGATTGACGGACAACAGATGGATGATCAGTTGTAGAATAGAGGGATGGTGGTGATATATTGATGGATTATGTTGGATTCATGGATATTTGAAAGGTGTTAGGATGCATTGTTTCTACACAGTGTCGCCCCTCCCCTTTTGTTGTTCCCTTTTTCAGTGTGGACTCGGCGTCTCGCTAATTGGTGCACCTGGCCTCTCTTACACACCTGCGAGTCTTTTGCTCATCAGCCACTTGCAGCATAAAAGCCAGCCTGAACAGCCACCCATTTGCCAGCCAAGTCGTCAGCGTTCTTTCCTGCCGTACTCGCTCCTGCCAACCTGCTACACTCCAGCATTCCTGTACTCCTCGACTTGGTACTTTTGACTCCCTTTCAGTTCCTCGAGTCTTTTGCTCATCAGCCACTTGCAGCATAAAAGCCAGCCTGAACAGCCACCCATTTGCCAGCCAGGTCGTCAGCGTTCTTTCCTGCCGTGTTCGCTCCTGCCAACCTGCTACACGCCAGCATTCCTGTACTCCTCGACTTGGTACTTTTGACTCCCTTTCAGTTCCTGCCACCCAGACCTGTCCCCCTTCTTGGCAATAAAGCATTCAGAGTTCATTGTGTCTGCGTGTGGGTCTTGTGCTCTGTTTCCACGAAGCCTAACAAAAGGTGGATGGGTGATTGATTGATAGATAGATAGACATTCCATTTGTGTAAACCCTGGTGGTCCATCCAACAGTCAAACCCTAATGTGACCCTCCAGTGCAGACTGCTTCTGATGGAGGCTGACCAGGAAAAAAAAACACCAAAAAAACTCCAGGAATTTTTCCCTCGGTTTTCCTTTGCTTCAAGTTTCAGGAAGCGAGAAAGGAGGGAAAATGAAATCCAGACCACAAAGTCTTTGGGAGACTGGGGGGCGGGGGAGGCTGGGTCGGGGATCAAATGACCAGACAGAGGCGGAGCTGCAGTGTTCAACTTCACATCAGCTCCTATTTTCACACAGAAGTGAAGAACTGGACCAGCCGGGACACCAATGTCCATCAGGACGTGTGTGTGTGTGCGTGTGTGTGTGTGCGTGTGTGTGTGTGTGCGTGTGTGTGTGTGTGCGCGTGTGTGTGTGTTGTGTGTGTTAACTATGTGCTGAACGAGAGAATGAAGCGGGAGCGTCGCTGAGTCGGCAAGAAGCTGCCGAGTCTGCACTTTGGTGGTGTGGCAAGCATGTGGAGGCAGTGGACGCCAGGAGAAGATGCGAGCGAGCGGGAGGACGACGAGGGCAGGAGAAGCGGCGGGACGCTTACGACCCAGCATTGAGCCTTGAACTCATGAACCGGACTCGTTGCGCCCTTCCTGGCCTCCCTACTCCTCCTTCTTCCCCTCCTCCCCCTCCTCCTACGCCACCGGCCTCATCTTTCTCCACTCACTTCAGCACCATGAGGTTCTCCTATCACCTTGACAACAGCGCCACTGGCAGGACAGGTGAGTAACTACAACAACAACAGTACAACCCTAGGCTGGGAAACTTTTTGAGCTCAAGAGCCAAGTATTATTTTTAAAATGGACTGAAGATCCAGGTCATTCGTAGATGAAGTTAAAAAAAGTGGTTCAAATGTGTAAGTAATATTGTTGACTTTAATGATAAAATCAGAATAGGTCAGTGCGCGTTAATCTCTCCCTGACAGCAGTGACATGTTCTCCGAGTACTGATGTCACAATGGTCCACCAACATGCTCCTCCCCATCCCCCAATACACTTAAGCCCCACTTCCCCTGATTCCCAACATGCCGCGGCCCACACATGAAAACAAAAAATAGCTAAAAATAGATTCAGCTGCTGGACGCACGCACCCACACAAACACACAGACACACAGGCACGCGCACGCACACACACACACACACACACACCCACACACACACACACACACACACACGCACACGCACACACACACACACACACACACCCACACACACACACACACACACACACTCTCTCTCTAAAGTGGCAGTGAGTGAGTGACCCAGTGACCTAGAGAGAGAACAAACACACACACACGCACTCACGCATGCACACACATACATTCGTGCGTGCGCGTGTTCATGAGATGCGGTGAGGCGTAAGGTCAAAGTTCAAGCCAGCAGATGATGATGATGATGATGATGATGATGATGATGATGATGATGGTAGAGTCTGTTTGTTTTTCCTCCGATGTAGTGTTGCATTTGAGTCCGCTTGTTTTTCAGCGCAGGACATTTGAGGGCGGGCACGGGTGGTGTTGATTTAATGACTGTCCTCTCTTTATCACTTCCTGTTGCATGTTTGCTACTGTGTTGTGAGTGTGTTAGTGTAGGAGTGTTATTGGAGACTTTGACAGGGAACATCTGGGGTATGTTTGTTGTGCTCACCCAGACCTCACCGCAGTGATGTTGGTGTACTTCCATGGTAATCCAGTCATAGAATGACCACATGGGGTCCTACGGGTAGCGGATCATCACTGGAACCTTCTGTAGCACATCTAAACCTGTAGAACCTTCTTAATAGCCATATTGCCCGCCTTGGGGTGGACTATTAGGTCACTAGAGAAGCCTTTGTACATCTATACCTGTACAACTTCTACAGGCTTCCCAACGGCCACAGTCAGAAACATGGAGACTATCAGAACATCCTAGATCAGCACTACAACCTCCTAAAAGACATTTAGACTTGCCAAATGGCTGGAACCCTGGAAACAGCCAGGTTCATAACCTTATATTGAGTAACAGGACACTCTTGCATCACCACTACGACTTTCTTGACAATTTCTAGTCTGCAGAATCACTAACTCTTGCAAGGGATTACCAGAACTTCCTTGATCACCCCTAGAACCTTCTAGACCTCTCGAACCTTCTCAATTCCCACATTACACTCATGTTTGTCAAAATGGAAAGTGTAGACCAGAACAGACAAAAATGTAACCAGTAACCACACATTAAACTTGAAAACAACATCAGGTCCCATCTTGCCACCACATTTCCCACAATGCCCTCTGCAGCGCTCCTTTACAGAACGCTAAACTTGTCAAGGTTACAGTCGGTCAGTTCTCGTGATTATTTTGTCATTTGTGGCACTAACTGTGACGTCGAATCGACGCCGGCGGCAGTCTGCTTCGCCCAGAGGTGTCCCTAATCTTTTGGCCAGGCTGCTCCGAAGAAGTCACGTGATGCGACTGTCACGCATGGGTCTAGCTGAATTTCATCTCGTTGTCAAGGAGACCAAAAGTGAAGGGAGCAGAGGAGGAGGACGACAAGACACACCCACACCCTGTACAGCCCTGAAGCTTTCTCATTACTGCACCGCCCACCTCCGGCCAGTTCGCTAGATCGAATCAAGCGCCTCAAACCAACATCTCTGTCCAGATAGAAGCAGCAGTCTGCCTCTCTCGCTCTCTCTCTCTCTCTCTCTCTGCGGTTTGCGCGCGCGCGGAGCCGAACGAGGAGCCGGTTTCTCCGTCGTCTCCCTTTCTCCTTCTTTTTCTTCTTCTTTCTCTTCTCTTTTTTTTCTTCTTCTCCGTGCATGTGGACCGGGTGAGCCGCGGTCTGCCATCGTCAACATTGTCGTTCATGAGCGGCCTGGTGCTGTGTTGTGCGATGTACATGGACAGAAGCAGCCTAAGCAGAGGTGAGCGCGCACACAAACACGCGGACACACACACGCACACACACACACACACACGCGCACACACTACGCTGCATTGGCGCGCGCGCGTGCATGTCGACTGTCATACGTACGATGGTGGTGGTGATTGTGGGAAGGGTGGGGAGGGGGGCGGCTATAAGTACGCGTACGAGCTGACCGATATCTCGCCGCAGTGAATGTAGGCTAGTGTGGCGCGCGTGCACGTCACTGCGTCTGATGCCAGCAGAGGTGCTGTTCGTCGTCGTGTGCACGAGCCTGTCGCCGATGGATTCCGTCGCCATATCGCAGTCGGCGTGTGATGCGTGTGCGTGCTTGATTTCACTTCATCTTTCTGCGATGATGATGATGATGATGGTGGTGAGACCTTCATCTTCTATGTGCAGACACACCCCCTCTCTCTCATGCACTCACACGAGCGCACGTCCATGTCTGCGCACTGGCCCAGTTCAGTCATATCAGAGCCAAAAATGACCTCTGGAACAGGCATCACAATGTCACCAAGACCAAAACCCATGCACCCATGATTGGTTCCTTCAACATCACCTTGAGAAACTGCCCTGAGAACGATCAGGGGAACCTACCTTCTTAACAACAGAATCCGCTTGATCATGACCAGAACCAATTTATAGATCTGTAAAATCGTGTTCAGGAGCTTGTGAACCACCACATTCACAACCTTTTAGTGGCCTACCCTAACCTATTTGATCATCACTAGAAGCTACAATGTGGAGCACCCAAAACCATTGGAATCATCTCAATACGCACATTAACAACCTTGTAGTGGACTACCACAGTAGCCTTAATCCCCACTCGAAACTGCCGTAAAACATCTTGACCTGTCGAAAGCGCATTCCACGTTCACAACCATGTGACAATCTCCCCGTATCTCCCCTTGAGATGGACCCATAAGACTTCTAAAACCTTCTTTGTGGCCATATTCAATGGTCTACCAGTAACTCTTTGATCACTACTTGAACCCACTTCAGGAAAACTTGGTCTGAACCAACCCTCGAACCTTCAACCTTCTAAACCATGCCGTGCCCCACAAGAACATCCTTGATCACTACTTGAATCTGCAGTAGAGCATTTAGACCTCAAGTATCAGCAGAACCTTTCTAATACCCACATTCACAAGTTCTTCATAAATTACCAGAAGCTCTTTGATCATCACAACAATCAACACTAGAACATCTAGACCCTGCAGGACCTTCTTAAGGAAGACATTCAAAACCACTACTGGAAACTCCATGATTATCACTAGATCCTTCTGAAGTGAGGATTGAAAAGCTCAGACTTTTCAATCGCTACATTCACAATATTAAAGTGGAATCCTGGAAATCTCTTAATCTTCACGAGAACGTTATAGAGAGCAATTGGACCTGTACAACCTCAAAAACATTGAGGTTACAGCCATGTTGTGGCAGGCCAGAACCTCCTTGAAGAAACTACTGTAGAACAACTGGACCCACAGACCCTCTCAATGCCCACATGTACAAGCTAGTACTGGACTATGAGAACCAGTAAAAATGCTAGCATATTCTCTACTTTAGCAAATTTAGTCCCGTAGAACCCTCTTTAATATGAAGATTCTGGAATATTTTTCATGCACACATTCCCAATGGTGTTATGGACTACTAGAGCCTCCTTCATCGCCAGTAGAATTTTCCTTAGAACAGCTGGATCTGCATAAACTCTAGAACCCACGACATTCATAACCATGTCGTGTCCTACTTGAACCTCCTTGATCACCACGTGAATCCGTTTTAGAACATTGAGGCCCATAGAACAATCTTAGTACTCACATACGCGACATTGTAGTGGAATTGTTGAACCTATTTGATTATTACGACACCCTATTGAGGAACGTCTAGTTCTGCAGAACATCTAGAACCGCAAATATCACCCCTAGAATTTGCCGCAGCACAACCTCTCCCATAGAAACCCTACAACGTTCTAGACTCACAAACTTATCATGATCAATAAAAACTTCTTTGTTAACCACTCAAACCTACTAGAGCTCATACCAAGAACGTCTAGACCCGCAGAGCCTCGAGAATAGACAGTGACAGAGTACCTGTAGACACCAGGGAGCCCCGAATAGGACAAACTGACCCTGTCCTGAAAATACCTCACCAGTCAGGAATGTTGCAGAAGTGATCATTTGAGAAAGTGAACACTTGGAAAGATTTACAGAAATAAAGTGTTGCATATTGACGTTGATCTTTTTCCGACCTTGCTCGGCCATTGGTGATAATTAATGTGAGAAAAAATTGAAATGATAGGCTCCAGCACCTCCCGCCACCCTTGTGAGGATTAGTGGATCGGAAAATGGATGGATGGATGGATAGTGCCCGCATTTACAACCTTGGTGCGGCCTATGAGAAGCTGATTGAATCTGATGTGGAACATCTTGACCTGTGGCCGACACAGTTAACATGTCATTATTGCTGAAATGCTTTTATGCAGTGATGGGAAAATGAAGCTTCAAATTTGCTTCTTGAACAAAGTGTTGTATTTTTTGACTTATCTAAATGGCACTCTGTTCAGCATTGGGGTAAAACTAAACTGACTTGCCATTTTTTAAACCCCTTTATTTAAACCAACATTGCCATTGAGAGGAGTCAAAAATTACACCAACTGGTTCATGAAGCAAATTTAAAGCTTCATTTTCCCATCGCTGCTTTTATGTTTCAGGTGCGAAGAAGCTAATTCTTGAGCGAGCATACTAACTGATGTCAGCTACCTATGTGCTCTCAATGACAAGCCAAAATCTTTCACCCTTATTCACCCTGCCAGGTCCCCCGTCCTCCTTGAGTCCTAGCTTGCTGGCTAAGAGTCTCTCTCTGGAGCCTCCTTGCGGGCCCCAGCAGCCCTCCTCCTCCTCCTCAAGTCCCGTCGGGCTCCAGGAGGAAGAGGTGAACGACTCGGGACCACCACAGATATGTAAGAGCCGGCCTCCTCTGCTCGGACCAAAGCCTCAAGGTGAGTTTCACCTGCAGCTGACACCAATCACAACACATACGTGAGATCACTGACCTTGACTTCCCACTACTTCAGTCCCCCCCAAACCACCCCACCTGCAGCATTTAG